GCCCCCCCAGGCCGCATCCTGCACTCGCTGGTCCCCAGGACGGAGGGTGAGCCCCGCTGTGTCCCCCCCGACTGGGACACGGGGAGCAGGGGACCCCGGTGCCGGGGGGTGTGGGGGGGTGGGGAGTGGGGTGACGGGGGTGCTTTGCTGGGGGGGCTGTCCCCGGGTGGCAGTGGTGTGGGGTCTGCAGAGGGGGCTGAGGATTCCCTGATTGGGTGCTCGGGGTGCTCAGAGTGCTCGGGGTGCTCGGGGTGCTCGGAGTGCTCGGGGTACTCAGGGTGCTCGGGGTGCTCAGGGTGCTTGGGGTGCTTGGGGTGCTCGGAGTGCTCAGGGTGCTCGGGGTGCTCAGAGTGCTCGGGGTGCTCGGGGTGCTCGGGGTACTCAGGGTGCTCGGGGTGCTCAGGGTGCTTGGGGTGCTTGAGGTGCTCAGGGTGCTCAGGGTGCTCGGGGTGCTCAGGGTGCTTGGGGTGCTCAGGGTGCTCGGGGTGCTCGGGGTACTCAGGGTGCTCGGGGTGCTCAGGGTGCTTGAGGTGCTTGAGGTGCTCAGGGTGCTCAGGGTGCTTGGGGTGCTCAGGGTGCTTGGGGTGCTCGAGGTGCTCGGGGTGCTTGGGGTGCTCAGGGTGCTCGGGGTGCTCAGGGTGCTTGAGGTGCTCAGGGTGCTCAGGGTGCTCGGGGTGCTCAGGGTGCCCAAGTTTCTTGGAGAATGTGGGATGCTCAGGGTGCTTGGGGTGCCCGGGGTATTTGGGGTGCCCAGGGTGCCCAGGGTCCTTGGGGTGCCAAGATTTCTTGGGGTGCCCCGGGTATTTGGGGTCCCCGGGGTGGTCAGGGTGCCCAGGGTGCTTGGGGTGCCTGGGGTATTTGGGATCCTGGGGGTGCTTGGGGTGGCTGAGGTCCCCAGGGTGCTTGGGGTACCCAGGGTATCCAGGGTACCCAGGGTATCCAGGGTGCTTGGGGTGCCTGGGGTATTTGGGGTCCCCGGGGTGCCCAGAGTGCTTAGGGTGCCGGGGTTTCTTGGGGTGCCCAGGGTATTGGGGGTCCCCGGGGTATTGGGGGTGCCCGGGGTATTTGGGGTGCCTGGCGCCCAGTGGTGAGGAGCACTGACGCTCACGGTGGCTGCAACACCGGAGTGCAAAAGGCAAAACGACCCCCCCCGACCCCCCCCCAGCGCTCACTGCTGCTGCCAGGGTCAGCCCCCGCCGCAAGGGCAGCTCCCCAAAGGGGGGGAAAAGGGGGATCCAGGGGGAAAACAGGAAATCTCGGGTGGGGGGGGGGTGTCACGGGGAGAGGGCAGCAGCCCAGGGACGCCAAGCACCTCCAGCTCTGCCGACCCGCACCCCCGCACGACCCCCCCCCCAAAGCCGGGGGGGGCCCATCCCCCCCAAAAGGGGGGAGGGGCCGTCTCTCCAAAGAGCTTCCCAGCAGCTTTCCGGGACCGTTTTTTGTCGGATGTTTCCAGAAGTGGTGCGAAATCCTGCCCGTTCCAGCAACGCCCGGCCACTGGGTACCAGCCTGAGAAAAAACAGCGACAAAAATAACGACAACAAAAAAGCCAACCCAACAGAACAAGCCAAAAAAAAAGAACAACAACAAAAAAAAAAAAACTAAAAAAACCCCAAACAAACAAACAAAAAAAAAAACCAAACCCCCACCACCATAATTTCGCCGTGGAAAGCAAAATTCGGAAATTTGGAACAGCGGTTGGGCTGGTTTTGGGGGGGCTCCGTGGGTTTGCAGTCACACCCCGCCCCAGCCCAGTCTCCCGTACGGGATGCTGGGAGGGGGGCACAGGGATTTTGGGGGGGGGCACAGGGATTTTGGGGGGTGCACAGAGATGTGGGGGACAGGGATGAGGGAATCACAGGGATGTTGGGGGGATCACAGGAGTGCGGGGGGGGGCACAAGGATGCTGGGGGGGGCACCGGGATTTTGAGGGGGGGCCACAGGGATTCTAGGGGGGGCACAGGGATTTTGGGGGGAGCACAGGGATGGCGGGCACAGGGATGCTGGGGGGGCACAAAGATGGGGGGCACAGGGATGGGGGGGCACAGGGATGCTGGGGGGGCACAGGGAAGGGGGGGCACAAGGATGGAGGGGCACAGGGATGCTGGGGGGGCACAGGGATGGGGGGGCATAGTGATGCTGGGGGGGCACAGGGATGGGGGGGCACAAGGATGGAGGGGCACAGGGATGCTGGGGGGACACAGGGATGGGGGGACACAGGGATTTTGGGGGAAGCACAGGGATGGGGGGCACAAGGATGCTGCGGGGGGCACAGGGATTTTGGGGGGGGGCACAGGGATGTTGGGGGGGGGCGCTGGGAGAAGAGGAGCAGAAGGGGACACGGCAGCACCCACCCACCCGCACCCACACCCACCCGCACCCCCCTCCGCAACCCCCCCCCCCCGCAGCTCCTGGCTGCCTGGGGCGGCCCCGGGGCTGGGGGGGGGGCTGGAGCCCCTCCGCGTGGGGGTCAGCGCTCGGTCACGGAGCCCCCCGGGGTGAGCGCCGGGCCCCCCCCCCCCGCCGTGCCGTGGTGCTTTAAGCATGTGCACCCCTGCACCCCCCCACCCTCCCACGCACCCCCCCCACAGGTACACCCCCATATCCCCCACCCCCCGTACACATACAGCCCGCGTACACGCATCCCACGCGCGTGTGCACCCCACGCAGCCCCCCCCCGCACACATATCACACCCCCTCATCCATGTACCCCCCATGCTCCCCCCCCCCCCCCCCCGGCACATAAACCCCATGCGCACACCCCCACCCCCCACCCCCGCACATACCCGCTGTGTGCGCCCCCCCCCCCCGCACTCACCCACCCGCCCCCCCCCCGCGATAACGGGGTGCTGCTGGCAACACCGCCCCCCCCTTTGCCTGGGGGGGGGGGGCATCCGGGGGGGGGGGGCGGGAGGGGAGTTGGAGGGTGCAGGGGAGATGGAGAGGGATGGGGGGGTGAAAAGGGGGGCGGGAGGGGTGCAAGGGGGTGCAGGGGGGTGCAAGGGGGGGACAGGAGAGGATCAGAGGGGGCGCAGGGGGGGCGCAGGGGGGGCAGGGATGCAAGGGGGTGCGGGGGGGTGCAGAAGGGATGCAGGGGGGGGGGCAGGGGGGCAGGAGGGGTGCAAGGGGGGTCCAGGGGGGCTCAGGGGGGTGTAAGGGGATTCAGGGGGGTGCAAAGGGGTGCAGGGGGGTGCAGGGGGGTGAAGGGGGGCAGGAGGGGTGCAAGCAGGGGCAGGCGGGACAGGAGGGGTTCGGGGGGGTGCAGGGATGCAAGGGGGTGCGGGGGGGGTGCAGAAGGGACGCAGAAGGGAGGTGCAGGGGGACATGAGGGGTGCAAAAGGGGTGCAAGGGGGCCAGAGGGGTGCGGGGGGGTGCAGGGGGACAGGAGGGGTGCAAGGGGGGTGTAAGGGGGTGCAGGGAGGTGCAGGAGGGTAGGAGGGATGCAAGGGGGGTGCAAGGGGGGTGCAAGGGGGCCAGAGGGGTGCGGGGGGGTGCAGGAGGACAGGAGGGGTGCAAGGGGGGTGTAAAGGGGTCAGGGAGGTGCAAGGGGGGTGCAAGGGGGTGCAGGGAGGTGCAGGAGGGTAGGAGGGATGCAAGGGGGGTGCAAGGAGGGTGCAAGGGGGCCAAAGGGGTGCGGGGGGGTGCAGGGGGACGGGAGGGGTGCAAAAGGGTGCGGGGGGGGTGCAGGAAGGTGCTAAGAGCACCCCAAAGCTGCAGGGCCCCGATATGGGTGCTGGGGTCCCTACATGGGTGTGAGGGGGTCCCTGTAGGGGTGCAGAGGAACCCCCCAATGAGTGGGGGCACCCCTGTACCGCCGCAGGAGGTCCCTCTGTGGGTGGGTGGGGGGGGCTCTATATGGTTTCAGGGTGTCCCCCATATAGGTTTGGGGGGTTCCTTGTACAGTTTAGGGGGTCCCCATAAAGTTTGGGGTTCCTGTACGGTTTGGGGGTGTGTGTCTGTGTGTGGTTTGGGGGTCCCCGGACGGTTTTGGGGTGTCCCCATACAGTACGAGGTCCCCATATAATTGGGGTGTGTGTGTGTGTGTGCAGTTTGGGGTCCCCGTGCGCTTTTGGGGCATCCCTGTAGAGTTTGGGGGGTCCCTGTGCAGTTAGGTGACCCTGTACGGTTTTGGGGCGTCCCTGTGTGGTTCGGGGTCCCTATATGGTTTTGGGGGTCCCTGTACAGTTGGAGTGTCCCTGTTCGGTTTGGGGGGGTCCCTGTCTACTTCGGGGTCCCTGTACGCTTTGGGGGTCCCTGTATAGTTTGGGGGGTGAGGGTGTCTCTGTAGAGTTCAGAGTCCCTGTACGGTTTGGGGGGGGTCCCTGTCTACTTCGGGGTCCCTGTACGCTTTGGGGGTCCCTCTGGGGTTTGGCGGGTCCCTGTATGGTTTGGGGGGGTCCCTGTACAGTTAGGGATCCCTGTACAGTTTTTTTTGGGGGGGTCCCTGTCTACTTCGGGGTCCTTGTACGGTTTGGGGGTCCCTGTATAGTTTTGAGGGGGGTGTGTGTCCCTGTAGGGTTCAGAGTGTCTGTACGGTTTGGGGGGGGTGGGGGGGTGTCCTTGTATACTTCGGGGTCCTTGTACAGTTTGGGGGTCCCTGTGTAATTTGGGGGTGTCCCTGTTTGATTCAGAGTCCTGTACAGTTTTGAGGGGGTCCCATACTGTATAATTCGGGGTCCCTGCACGGTTTGGGGGTCCCTGTGGGGTTTGGGGGTGTCCCTGTATGATTCGGAGTCCTGTACAGTTTTGGGGGGGGGGGGTCCCATACGGTTTCGCAGTGTCCCTGTGAGTTTCGATGTGTGTCCCCCACCCCCCCCGGCGGTTCGGGGTCCCTGTACAGTTTTGGGGTGCCCCTGTACATTTCGGGGTGTTCACCCCCCCCCCCTCCCTTTTCCCCCCCCCTTCCGGGGCTCCGCGGCAAGCGGCTGGCGAGCCCTCCGCTCCTGCAGGGGTCGCCGTAGCGCCGGGCGGCGGCGGGCGGGCCGGGCGGCGGCCTCGTCTCTCTTGTTCCGGCGCCGCGTGGTCAGCGCGGCCGCCGCAGCGGGAGCAGGCCCCGGCGGCGGCGGGGCCCGGCCCGGCCCGGCCCCTCCCGGCCCCGCCATGTGGTTCATCTACGCCTTGAGCTGGCTCTCCCTGCTCATCCAGGTGGCCTTCGTCACCCTGGCGATCGGTGAGCCCGCCGACGGGGGTTTGCCGGGACTCTCGGGGGGGCGGCGGTTGGGGGGGGGGGGGGGATGCGGGTCTGGGCCCAGCCGCAGGTTTCTCACGGGGGGGTTGTCGCGATAAGTCGTGTGTTTCTCGCTACGGGGGTGGCTCCAGGGAGGGGGGTAGCCTGGGCTGCTCTTGGCACCCGGTTCCAGCAGCTCCCGGCGGTCCCGGGGTGCTCCAGAGTTTGGGGGGGGGGGGTCCCATGGACACCCCTGCGGCCTCTGGGTGCCCCTGAGGTCTGGTGGAAGCCCCAGAGTTCTTGTGGAAGCCTCAGAGTTTGGGAGGGTCCCACGCGTGTCTCCAAGGCCCCCGAAGTCCTGTGGAAGCTTCAGAGTTTGGGGGGGGAGGGGGGTCCCATGGGTGCTCCTGAGGCCTCTGGGTGCCCCCGAAGTCCTATGGAAGCCTCAGAGTCTGAGGGTGTCCCATGGGTGCCCCCCAAGGTTCCATGGAATCCCCAGAGTTTGGGGGGGTCCCATAGGGGCCCCCGAGGCCTCTGTGTGTTCCCAAGATCCTGTGGAAGCCCCAGAGTTTTGGGAGTTTCCCATGGGTGTCCCCAAGGCCCCCGAAGTCCTGTGGAAGCCCCGAAGTTTGGGGGGGTCCCGTGGGTGTCCCCAAGGCTCTGTGGAAGCTCTAGAGTTTTGGGGGAGGGGGGTCCCTCGGGTGTCCCCAAGCCCCCCCGAAGTTTTGTGGAAGCCCCAGAGTTTGGGGGAGTCCCACGGGTGCCCCTGAGGTCCTGTGGAACTCCCAGAGTTTGGGAGTTTCCCATGGGTGTCCCCAAGGCCCCCGAAGTCCTGTGGAAGCCCCGAAGTTTGGGGGGGTCTCGTGGGTGTCCCCAAGGCCCTGTGGAAGCTCTAGAGTTTTGAGGGAGGGGGGTCCCTCGGGTGTCCCCAAGGCCCCCGAAGTTTTGTGGAAGCCCCAGAGTTTGGGGGAGTCCCACGGGTGCCCCTGAGGTCCTGTGGAACTCCCAGAGTTTGGGAGGGTCCCACGCGTGTCCCCAAGGCCCCCGAAGTCCTGTGGAAGCCCCGGAGTTTGGGGGGGTCTCGTGGGTGTCCCCAAGGCTCTGTGGAAGCTTTAGAGTTTTGGGGGAGGGGGGTCCCTCGGGTGTCCCCAAGCCCCCCGAAGTTTTGTGGAAGCCCCAGAGTTTGGGGGAGTCCCACGGGTGCCCCTGAGGTCCTGTGGAACTCCCAGAGTTTGGGAGCTTCCCATGGGTGTCCCCAAGGCCCCCGAAGTCCTGTGGAAGCCCCGGAGTTTGGGGGTTCCCTGGGTACCCCTGCGAGTTGCGGGGGGGGGGTGTGGGGTGGGTGGGGTGTGTGTGTCACCCCCTGCCCTTCTGTCCCTCCGGGGCGCTGGGGCTGAGCCGGCCGTTCCTCCCGCAGCCGCCGGGCTGTACTACCTGGCGGAGCTGATCGAGGAGTACACGGTTGTCACGCGGAGGATCATCAAATACATGATCTGGGTAAGTTTCCCTGTCGCTCCCCACCAAAAATCACGCCCCCCCCGGGGCAGCAGCCGTGGCACGGGATGGAGGGAACCGGCACTTGGGAGGCTCCTGCTGCCCCGAGACGGCTCCGGCTCCTGAGGAAGGAGGTTGGCAGAGGCTGCTTCAATCAGCCCCTCGCTTAACGGGGGGCTGGCGGGGGGGTGATAACCCCTCCTGGGCGACACCTGCGTCCCTCCCCCTCGGCTGGGGAAACTTGAGGGGCAGCCGCGGCGCGTCCCACCCTTGCCCACAGCAAGGTGGGATTCCCGTTTGGGGGAGCCGGCGCCGAGCGGGAGGTGCGTGGGGAGATGAGGTGCTGGCAGAGCCTCGAAATCCCCGTGATGGCGGCCGGGTTCCCGCACCCCCGTGTTTGCCCCGGGCAACCCCCGCCTCCCCGCTTCTCTCTTCCAGTTCTCCTCGGCCGTGCTGGTCGGCCTCTACCTCTTTGAACACTTTCCCGGTTTCATGGTGGGCGTGGGGCTCTTCACCAACCTGGTTTACTTCGGGTTGCTGCAGACCTTCCCCTTCATCGTCCTGACGTCCTCCAATTTCATCCTGTCCTGCGGTGAGTGGGCGCTGGGGCTGGGGGGGGGGGGGCGCGTCCCCTCCCTCACCAGCCGGGCTCTGGGTGGCAGCAAAGGTTTGGGGTTTGCTGTTGGCCGCCCCCGTGGCTTCTTTTAAAAGGACTTTGAGCTTTCGTGCGGGGCTTTTTAATTGCGTTTTATGATGTGGCTGTGGTAATTGTGGGCTGGGCCCGGCGGCGTGGCAAGCGCCTTCGGTTCCGTACCCCGGTGCAGAGCCGGGGATGCCGAGATTTCCCGGGCACCCTCTGCTTCACCCTCCAGCCGGTTCTGCTCCAAACTCGCGTGGCAGCGCTGGGGAAACGAGATCCTGGCTGGCCTGAAACTCAGCGTCCTGTTCTGGGCATTCACTGGCTTTTGGTAAAGAACCAAAGGGTTTTGAAGCAAACTTTAAAAACGCAGCGTGAGGTAATTACAGCCTGATGTCAGGCAGGGCTGCGCGGGACGGTGCGTGTGCGTCATCGTCGGGGGAGCTGGTGTGTAGAGAAAGAAAAGCTTTGAGACAAAAGTCCACAGTTAACATGGAAATTTGTCAGCTTTGCGGCAGAAAGCCCTGTTAGAAAAGTGCGTTGCTGAGCTTAAATCAGGATTTTTTTTTTTTTTTTTTTTTTTTTAATTTTTCCCATTTGCCTCCTGGCTGGTGGGCGCAGCTAATTAGGGGGCTTGAATTAGCAGCACCTCTGTTTTGGCCACAGCAGCCAGCTCACTCGTCTGTCTGCCACGAGCAGCCCAAGCCACGTCGCGGGCTGAACCCGGGAGGAGCTCTGCTGCCGGGGCTGGGCTGGGGGACCAGTTGCTCTGCCAATTAAACTGGTTTTTGGTTTCCTCCCACTGTGAGTTGCCGAGTCCCCTACATATTTTAGTGTCCTGTGCACAGATCTGACTTCACATCCCTGGTCCGAGTGATTTGCAGTGACACCTTAAGTAACAAATTTCTTCCAGCATGGAGCCCTTTAGCCTGCCTACGACTAAAACACCTTTGCTTCTCGGAGCATCCACGTGGGCAGGATTTTAGCCGCTACTTGAAAAGGAGCGTAGCTCTCCCGTGGTGTGTGGGTCAGGAGCTGCGTTTCCTGGCAGAGCCGGGTTCTTCTGGATCTTCAGTGACGTCCTCAGGCCGGAGAGGACGATAAAGCCGCGTTTTGTGTCGGGGCTGTCTCTTCCTGGGGCTCTCCTGGGCTGGGGCTGCTGTCTTGGCATCTTAACTAAAAAGCGAAAGAAGCTCCGCTTCCCGCCTCTTAAGAGCGAAACGGTGTTTTTCGTTGCCGAGGACAGCGTTAATCCTGCTGTCCTGGCCACATTTCAGCTTGACTTGGTTTACAGATGGCAGAAGAGCTGCTCTCCACAGCAGCTCTCGGGGACTTGGGTTTTTTTTTTTTTTTTTCACTGCTTCTCTCAGCGCTGCACAGCATTAGCAGGTGTCAGGCTGGGCTCTCCAGGGTGCCCTCGGGGACACGGGACTCGGCCAGGGCTGTGGAGAGGCACAAACTGGGGCTGGGATGGGGATGCTCTGGCTGCTCAACACCCCTTTCTCACTAGATGCGTGAAAATATTTTAGCGGCGGGGAGGAGCTGTTCCTCGCAGGGCAGGCAGTGGAGGTGGTTTGTCCTCTTCAGTTTCTTCCAGGCTGGAGACTGACTGTGCTGTGTTTTTCTTTGGCAGTGCTGGTTATATTCAATCACTACTTAGCGTTCCAGTACTTCGCTGAGGAGTATTACCTGTTCTCTGAGGTGAGAGACCTTTGGGAAAGAGTCAATCTGTGTTTTTCCAGCCGGCGTGGAGCTGCTGGTGGGAGGAGGGAAGAGGAAAATGTCATTTTTTCAGTCAGCAGTAAGACACACCAAGAATATTTTTCACAGACCTTCCCTAGGGGTTCCCGTGCTTGTTCCCTCAGAAGTCCCAGGGAAGCTGCAGTGTCTTTTCTTGACTGTGGGCTTGGGGCTTTCTCAGCCAGCTGAAGGGCAGAAAAAATACTGAATCTTAAGCACAGATAGTTTTTTTTTTTTTTTTCTCTGAAATGCTGAGAACTAGGAAAAGTAGACAATATTTTTTTAAAATGTTTTTGTACGAGCTAACCACAATTCACTTCCCTTTCGGAATAATTGCTCCTCGTTATTTTTATGCCTCTGATGTGCTAATCCCTCTGTGTCACCATCCTCACACCTGCCCGGACGAAGGCCCAGATCCACCAAGGGGCTTGTTTTGGGCCCGACAGTAGCTGCCACTTAGTGCAAATTTTAAAAAGAAATGGAAAAAAACCTCCACCAAAATAAAAAAAAAAACAAAACAAAACACCACCCAGCCACCTTCTGATGAAGTTTAACGTTCCTCCAGTGTTTGTGTGCAGGAGGAGGCTGGTGTGGCAGCTCGACACCTCTTCCCCTCTCCCCAGAGCGCTGACTCCTGCGTCCCACCCCGGGGCGGGAGGAGAGGTCTGGGTCTCGGGTGTGAAGAGGATTTAATTAGTCATAAGGGCACAGCCAATTTCCTGGTGTTTTTTTTTTTTAATTGCAGTCTTTAAAATTCTGGGGTTTGGGAGCAGGCAGGGTTTTCCGGACAGGAGCGAGGGCTTTTCCTGTGTGCCCTGTCCTTCTGTGGAAGGTGCTGGGTGAATTTTATCCCCTTAGCTTCGCAGGACGAGGCTGTCTCAGCACCTAAGAGACTTGGGAAAAGTTGCGTTGCCGTTCTCCCCCTTCGGTGCCCTTTCCCTCGAGGGGTTCAGGTAGAAACTTGGGGTGTATTGTAGGGAGGTGCAGCTGGGGCTGGGGCAGGGCTGGCGGGCGTCAGCCCGGACAGCAGTCAGCGTGTTGAAGGCCTCTGAGCGCGTTGCAGCTCTGCTCTCACCGCCTTTGCTCTGCCCGCAGGTTCTCGCCTACTTCACCTTTTGCCTGTGGTTAATCCCTTTTGCATTTTTCGTCTCCCTGTCGGCTGGAGAAAACGTCCTGCCTTCCACGGTGCAGCCTGGAGGTGAGGCCTGGGCTGGTGTCTGACAGGGGCTGTGCTCAGCACCCCCGTTCCCTCTGCACAGAAGGGGTAAACCCTCCCAAAAAAACGAGGCAGGAAAAGGGGGGGGGGGGCGAGCAGAGTGGAGGGCTCTTCCTGCATCTCTCCCGTGGCGTTCCTCAGCCTCTCCCCACGGCTGAAGGAAAGGCAGCTCAGGATTTGGGCTCCCTGTCAGTGGCTTCTGCGCTTTAAAAGCGGCTCAAGCCTCACCCTGAGATCGGATGCCCCGCGCCAGGGCTCACCGGGTCAGCGGGTTTGCGTTTGATCGGCCTTCCCTCCTCTCCGCAGACGACGTGGTCTCCAACTACTTCACCAAAGGGAAGAGGGGCAAGCGCTCCGGTATCCTCCTCATCTTCTCTTTCATCAAGGAGGCCATCCTGCCCAGCCGACAGAAGATTTACTGAGCCCCGGCTGCGGTGAGGGAGCAGGGCAGACCCAGACTGTGCCGCGGGCTGCGAGGCAGCGCCGCCCCCCAGGCCTCGCTCCAGCCCTCCCCCGTTGTCTCTCGACGGGATTTTTCTGGGATGGGATAAACTGGGCGATGGCCGGAGGTGCCAGCAGCGCTGGACAGGGGGCTCGCGCCTTTTTATTCCAGCTCCGATGATCCCCCGCCCCGGGGGCTGTGTGCAGGAAGGATGTTTGGCTCCAGGTGAGGGACCTGGGAGCTGCTGTCACCTGCTGGGGTTTAAAAGCCGGGAGTTTTGCACGTGGTGTAGTTTGGCCGTGGGGGAAACGGTTCCCTTGGCGCGGCAGCGGAACGTGCTCGACGTTTAACTGAGGTTTACACAGAGCCATTAATTAAAAAAACAAAAAAAAAAAACCCAAACCAAGTCACCAAACTGTTGAACTCCTGCATATTCCCGCTGGGAGCCTGCCAGCGCTGGAGGATGCTGGCGTCCCCCCGAGTCTGGAAGGACTCAGCGTAGCTTTTTGTTTGATTTTAATGTTGGGAATACCCATTTTCCTCTGGTTTTGCCCGGTGCGGCCCCGCGAAGCCGTTTCACGGAGGGCGATTCTCGGCTTCCCGTGGGTGTCGTCTGCTCGCCCTCCCCAGCGCTGCTGAACTCGCCGGGCCTCCCTCCTTTCCTAGAGGGGGATAAAAAAAAAAAAAAATTATCACACTGAGGAGGAGAACCCTTTGTTCTTGGTTCTTGTAATCGTAAAAAACCCACCTTTTTCTCCTCTTTCCTGCTTCGTTCAGCCTGTGCCAGAACTAGATCTCCCCGTGCCCGCCCGGAGCCGGGGCCGCGCGCGGCTGTAGCGCAGGATTGCCCCGGCAGCGTGGTTTCACGATTCAGGAAGGCTTTTTGAGGCGTTTCTGAGGAAAGTGGCACATTTTTTTTTTCCCCTCCCAGCCAGTTCTGGCTGAAGGCGAAGGTGAGGCCCGCGGTCCCACCACGCCCCTCCCTGCCCCCCGGGTTTGTTCAGGGCCCCCCCCTCCCCGCTAACGCTGGCGTGTGTTGATGCTGATTTAACAGAAGTGTGGTTTCTGCTGGAGAGCTGCTCCTCTAATAAAGGCTGTAGATGAAGTTCGCCGTATGGGAGAGGCTGGGTGCAGCGTTGGGCTCCCGTGTTGAGTTGGGGGGGGGGGGGGTGTCGCGTGAGGGAACAGCCCCCGGATTATTTTTGATGTTTTTAGAGAAATAGCGGAGGATGAGAGAGTGACGGAGGGGACTAGAGGGCTGCAGGAGGCGCAGCGCAGAGGCTTTGGGAAGCGCCGCTCCCCGGGGGGGGGTCAGCAGGGGGTGCGTGTTTTCAGCGCGGAGCTCTTGGGTATCGGGGTGTCAGAAAAAGGAAGGGAAAAGCACTGGAAGCGAAGCACACGAGAAGGGGCGAGGGCACGGGTGGGAGAAAACCCATCGGCCTGGCCCGGAGCGCCGGGAAGCTGCTGGAAAAGCGGCTCCCCAGCTCGGGTGCCGTGCTGTAATTCTGCTTCAAGGCCCCGGGGTGGGGGACACCGGGCCTGCGCGCCGTCCCCTGCTTTTCCTCCCTTCCCTGACAGCGTTAAAACTGCGGCTGAAAAGAAAAAAAAAATAACTTTCCAGCCGCGGAGGAGGGATGCGGAGCTCCTGGATGTGTGTTCGCAGCTCGCCTCGGGTGCAGCCAGATGGGCCAGGGTGGGCGAGGTGAAACCCCCCCCCCTCGGGCTGGGGCTGCGTGATGTGTGGGGCAGGGCCGCTCGCCGGGCTCGGGTCGGGGTTTAAATTCCGTTTTATCCCTGTGGATGTGACACGGGAGGGATGGAAAACTCCGTGAGAGCCGTCACTGCCGCGGCGGGGAGAGCCGGGCGGGGTGGAGGGCTTCAGGGAGTCCTGAGCCAGCGGGTAGGATGGCAGCGGGGAAGATCAGTCGCCTTAATGTCCCTTCTGCCCAGCCTTTTTAATCCTCATTTTCCCGTTCACTTCGCCAGAAAGCGAGGGTAGATTACTTTGTGTTTTTTTCCCAGATGACAAGTCCGTTTTTCCTGACTACTGCTTGTGATCACCGGGTGTTTTAAGATGTTAGTGACACGCTTACCTGAATCTGGTTCAGCTCAAAGAAAAGTGGCGGAACCAGATGATAGCGAGTGAAACCCTATAAATATTTAAAAGGCAGGCATCAGAAAAATCCCCCCTGCGTGGGGAGAAGGTAACGCCACGAGGGCTCTGCTCGGCTCCTGCTCTAAGCAGGGAGGGTTGGCTCCTGGAAACGCGCCCGGCGTGGGTCAAAATACCCCGTTCCTTGCCCCGAGACATGGGGACGCCGGGAAATCTGGGGAATTAAGATATATAATCCCTCGTTATTCACGGGGACGAGGCAAGGGCGCTCCGGAGTCCGCCCGCAGAGGGTTTGCGGGAAGCTCCGGCTTCCAAAGAAGCGTGAGTTACCGCGTTGATGAAGGATTTAAAAGTCCCGTAGGTGAGCAGGTGCGTCTCTGCCGGCTCGGAGCTCTCCCCCCCCGGCTCGGGGAGGGTGCAGCCCCGGCTCTCCCGTCCCGCGGGAGCGGAGCTGGCATTGATTTTCACGGGCGTTTGGAGGGTGTAATCAGAGGAGAGGAATTCACTCGATACGGAGCGGGCAGCGCGGCGGTGGGAAAGGGCAGGCTGCCGATGAGTAACCGCGCTCGGGCCGCGGCATTTCCCCCCCTGCTCAGCGCCGAGCCGGGGAGGGGGTGACGTCAGCGGGGATCGAAATGCCAGAGCCGGGGGGTGCCGGGTCCCCTTGTGCTGGGAATCACCCCAAAAGCTGGATTTGGAGAAATCCAGCTCCGGCCAGGGAAAGGGGAAGGGCGGGGGCAGCCTCCCAGGGTTTTCCGAACTGGTCCCGGCGGCTCTCGCCTTCTTTTCCAGGAAGAGGATCTGTTCCGCGGGCTGACGTTCATCCGTCAGGCTGGGGAGCTCGTAGGGCTCGCGAGCAGCCTGTCCTTGTCTGCTTTCCACACGGCAGCCCTCAGGTGCCTGGAGAATGGAAAGGCCGGGGTGAGAAACGCTTGGTGATTAGAAAGATAAGCTCCTTGCCTTAAATATTTTAGTTCAAGTTACCTACGCTCTTCGAGAAGGAGAAAGAAGATGTGTTTTAAAACAAAACAAAACAAAAAAAAAAGCAGAGGGATGGAGTGCTGGCACAGCAGCCTGTCCTGGCTGTCCTTGGGGAGCGGGGGGGCCGCCGGTGCCCCGGGAGGGGACCTGTCCCCTCCTCGGCTGCGGAGGAGACCGCTCGCCCTTTGAGGCCGCCGCGTTCCTGGCGCGTCCGTGTTCCTTGGGGCTGTTCGCTCTGACCCCAGACAGCTCTTTTAATTGTTGCAAAAAGGCATCGTGAGGTCGTTGGCTGGAAGCGGAAGGTGCGTAAATCCAGACTGCAACTGAGGCGTCTGTTCTTGATGGGGAGGGTAATTAACTCCTGGAAGGAGCTGCAGCCCCGGGAGCAGCCGCAGTCCCGGCTGCTCCCGCCTGCGCTTTTGCACAATTGAATAAACTATTTAGGGAAAGAAAAAAACAAACAAAAAAAAAACCCCCAAATGGTCCTGCCTGCATCCTGCCTGTCCCCCAGGGTTGAGCAGCCCTGGCTCAGCCTTCTGTAGGGGGTGCCAGATGTACGTGCCTGCTTCTATAGGGGCCTCACCCCTCCCCGTAAGTGACCGGCAGCACAAACCTGCCCTGACCCCCTCTGCGTCCCCGCGGCATCCTCCAAAGGGAGGGGTGGCCCCTCCGCCCGGGGAAGGGACACTTGAGGACCCACCAGCCTCTCCGGCACGTGGCTTTCCCCCCCCTCCCCAAAACCCCACGCTGGGGCGATGGTGGTGGAGCCCTTTTCTCCTGGGTTTTAGCCCGGACCCGGCCCGTCCTCCCTGCTGCGAGTTCTGAACCCGAGCTATGCGGGTTTATCTGCACTAAAACCAGCCCCGAGAGGAGACGGGGGGGGGGGGGGTTGCCCCCGGCTAATTAAGCACCTGGTGCAAGGCAGGAGGATGCTCTCTCGCTTGCTCTGCCCCTGCCCGGCAGCTCCTGCCCGCAACAAGGCAGCCGAGCTGCAGAAACCACAATTAAATTCATGTTTTTGTGGCTCTTTGGATTTAAAAGGAACAGCTGGGGCTTGAAAGCTCCTCGGGACTGACGGGGGGGGGGTTTGGGAGCGGCCCCAGAGCTCCTCCTCCGGAGCAGCAAATTTTGGGGAGCAGCTTGAGGGGAAACCCCATCTCCTGCTGACCCCAGTGCTTAAGAGCACCAGCCCTTGGAGTGACTAAGGGTCTGCCGGCTCCCTGGGGACCCCAGCCTCAGAGCTGCGTGCCTGGGGGGACCGTTCACCCCCTGAGCTGGGTGTCGGGGTACGTGGGGGGGGGAGCATGGAGCCAACTGGGAGCCCAGGAACGCTGGGCCTGATCCCCAAGCGACGTGCTGGCAGTTTGGGGGAGCCCCATCCCACAGCTGTGGCTGCAGAGTGTGGCCCCACGAGCCCTCCCCGGGGCTGGACCCCCCTCCTGCTGAGATGGGGCTCTCCCGGCGGGGGCTGCCTGTGGAATTGGGGGGGGGGGGGTGTGTGTGTTAATGGCAAACCCGAGAGCTTCACGGGTCTGGGGGTTTTGCCTTGCCACGTTACGCGCAGCCCTGCCCGGCTGCTGGGCACCCTAGGGTGGCAGGAGGGTGGGTGCCCCGCTCCGGGTGGGGTGGGGGGGGGGGTCTCTTGCCAGGACCAGTTTGCAGCAGCTCCAGTGCCATCCCCAGCCCTGTCCCACTGTGCCACCCCCTCGCCCAGCAAGACGTGCCCCTCTGGTGACATTGCAGCTGGGGGGGGGGACACACACCCGGTGCCACCTCTTTTTAATTAAAACACGAGAGGATGGGAGCTGCTGGAAGATGAGGGTGAGAGCTTGCAGCAGCCGTCTCCGCCAAGTAAAGGGCAGTGGGGGGGGGGGGGCTCTACCCCAGCCCCCCCCTGCCCCCGGCCGGGCGGGTGAAGGGCCGGGTCCTGGGGAGACCACCCACCGCCCGGGGTCGGAACGGGACCCCGTCCCCGCTCCCTGGTGAGCAGCTGGACGGAGCCGTGTCGACGTCCTTGTCCCCTGGGGAGAGACAGACAGACAGACAGACGGGGAGATGTGAAGCGGGGTGGGAGCGAGCGCCAAGAGCCCGCGGGGACGCGGGCCATCGCCCGGGAGCTTGTCACCGGGACCGGTGACGGGAAGGGACCGCGGAGCATCAGCGGGGACAAGCGTGGGTGTCACCTCTGCGCCGGCCCCCGCGGGTGTTCTCATAGCAGGGTGACCCAGCACAAGCCCCCCCCCTTCACCCCCCAACCTGCTCCGTACCAGCACCCGGCCTCCCCGCAGCCCCAGCATCCTCACGGTCCTGCTGGGGGGGGCCGGGGGGGCCCAGGGTGGCATCCAGCGCCCGGCGCCGGCGCTGCAAGATGAATTCCAGCTGCCCGTCCCTGCCCTTCGCGCTGCTCCGCCGCCCGCTCGCCCTCCTCACGGCACCCTAAGGACCACCCCGCACGGCCACCTCCAGGCACCAGCACCCCCCCCCCCGACGCAGCCCCACGCAGGACGGCTGCAGCTGGGGACGGTGGCGGTGTGTCCCAGCGTGATGGCCCGGGGTGGGGTGGGGGGGCGTGGGGGGTGTGAGTGGGTGCATATGTGTGTGTCCCCCGCATCGAGCTGGGACGTCGCTGCTCACCAGGATGCCCTGCAGCTCCAGCACCGCGCTCCTCCGCTTACTAGCCGCCGGACCCTGCGGGAGGGGGTGGGAGGAGATGCGGCCGCATCCTGCCTGCGCTCCCCACACCCACTCCCGGGGGTCCCCGGGGACACCCCACCACCACCACCACCACCTCCACGGGATGGGGGTGTCTGGCAGCGGCCAAGCCCAGGTCGCTGCCCACCTGCTCCGGGGGCCCCCGCTCCTTCGCGGGCCGCAGGACCACCCCGTTCTTTATCCGCTCCATCATCTCCTGCACGGCCCGAGCTTTAACGTCGTCGGCTCCTGGCTGGCCTGCGCGGGGAGCGCCGTGCTGAGACCCCACGCGCTCGTGACAGGGCTCGGTCCCTGCTGCAGGTGGGGAGGTGCCACCTCCCCGCAGCTCCCCCCGTACCCGGGGTCCCTCCCACGAGCCCAAACCCAACTGTGACCCAGGATACGACCCTGATCTTCCACCCGTGCCGGGCAGTACAGGGGTGCCAGGACCCTTTGGGGAGCAGGGGGGGCTGGGAGGGCGCTCGGCACCCCACAACAGGACCTTGGACATTTTGGGGTGGATGGGAGATGCCTGGACCAGTGTGGCGCTGGCAAAGCCGATGAAGCCCCATCCTCCCAGTGCCCAGGGGCCCTCCCGTGGCCACGGCACTGCTGGGGAGCCCCCCACCACGGCACTGGGACCCCCCCCCGGGTTGCAGCGGGGCAGCCGGGGCGGGGGGGACACGACACTTACTGTGCTGCAGCTTTGCCAGCCCCTTCCTCTGCCTGATTGCCGAGAGCGGGCTGGAAGGGAGAGGGGAGGTGAGAGCCTGGCCGAGCTGCACCCCCCCAAAAAGCCAGGCGCAATGCCCAGTGTGCCCACCACCATCTCTGAGCCAGGCACACCTCATCTTCCCCAAAATCCCATGGGGGGGGCTGGCCCCCACCCCGCACCCTGCCCCTCCTGCCGGGGACGATGCTGGGGCACGGCTCGGGGACAGCCTGGCACGGCGGGCGAGAGCGATGGGGTGGGGCAGGGAGAAGGTTTTGCCCCCCCGCCCCAACCCGGCTTATTTGCTCCGGCAGAGACGAGCTGGAAGCCCCGGAGCTGCTTTCCAGAGGTGAGCGGGCGCTGCCCGTCCGTGTCACTTACTCCACGGGGACGGTGGGCGCGGGCGGTGGCAGCGGCGGTGGCGGCGGCGGCGCGGGCGCAGCCGGCTCGGGGGGCGACGGGTCCTGGGCCAGCTTCTCCTGCAGCCACCCCACTGCAAAGGGGGGTGCGGTTGGGGCTGTGTTGGGGAGCCTGGTCCCCCCCCCCCCGCCTCCCACCCCAGGCGGCACCGTGGGCAGCCCCCCCCGCGCGGGGAAGCCACCCACCTTCCTCCTCCAACCCCGCCAGCCGCCCCTCGGCCTCCCCCAGCCTCTTCCTCAGCTGCTGGTTCTCATCCTCCGCCGCGGCCAGGGCAGCTCGGGCCACTTCCAGCTCCTCCGGCTCCGGCCGCCTCCCCAGTTGCTCCTCCAGCTCCTTCACCTGCGGGAGAGTTGGGGCGGGGGGGGGAAGCTGGGTGCAGCCCAGGAGCTGGGGACCCCCCCCCCCCCCACCACCACCCACCTCCACCCGGTGCCATCCCTGCTAGGGGCGTGGATGCTGCGCAGCCCCACGAATTGGCCGTTTGCGAGGAACTTCCAGTTAATTTTAAGGCAAGTCTCGGCTGGGTGATGGCAGCCAGGTGGGCTGGGGGGGGGGGTGTGTGTGCTAGCCGTGGGGGGGGGAATCAGGTAACTGAAGGGGTGAATGCCTCAAACATTCATCAGGGCGCATGGAAGGGTGCGCAGCTCCCCTCCCTTGAGGCTGTGTGGCCAAATTCCTTAGATAAGCCTGAAAGGGAGGAGATGCAGACTGAGGAAAACCGTATGTTGGGCTAAAAGATCAATAAGAGAGAGAAAATGGATAACGGCCCAAGAGGCAAAAACTGAGGAAAAAATAAAAGTGGTAGGGGGGAGCACGACCACTGACTCAGCCCCCTCAACACACGCACAGAACCCACACTCCACCTTTCCCTCGTCTCTCATGGAATACCTGCCTCTCTCGGTCAAGTATGCAAATCAGCTGATAAAATTAACTTTAAAAGGCAACAGAAAACTTTGCCTGCGGTGCACCCACTACCCAAGATTATTGGATCTGAGACAATGCTGGAACCTGGGTGGTGATCTGGATTCTTTGACTCCATTTCCTTTTCCTTTTCCTTTTCCATTTCCTTTTCCTTTTCCTTTTCCATTTCCTTTTCCTTTCCTCTTTCCTTTCCTTTCCTTTCCTTTCCTTTCCTTTCCTTTCCTTTCCTTTCCTTTCCTTTCCTTTCCTTTCCTTTCCTTTCCTTTCCTTTCCTTTCCTTTTCCTTTCCTTTCCTTTCCTTTCCTTTCCTTTCCTTTCCTTTCCTTTCCTTTCCTTTCCTTTCCTTTCCTTTCCTTCTTTCCGATTTATCAGTAAGAGACCACATCTCTTCCTATCCTTTTCCAAGTTTAAGTTGTTTCTACCACAAGTAAAACAATTTAGCTGGTCGTTTGGTGTCGTTTCAACCTTAGTTTAACCTGAGGGGATCACAGAACCTTTACAGCTCCCTGGGCTCCCAGTCTGGATTGGACCATGGGGACGTGGTAGCCCAGTTGTGGGACCTTCATGGAAAAACCAACCTCTCCGGGCTTGGCACAGCACGGGATGGGCATCGAGGGGGTGATGGAGGGGGGTCTGATCCTGCTCGCAGCCCGTTCCCACACCCAGGGGAACCCACTGCCGGCTGTGGAGCTGGTGTGGGCCCCCCCCCCCCGCCCCACCCTGTGTCACCCACCCTCGGGGACGGCTCCTCACCCGCTGCTGCTGGTGCTGCCGGGCCTCCTCCAGCGCCCGCGTCAGGCGTCCCACCTCCTGCAGAGCTGCCAGCAGCTGGGCGCTGGGCCCCGCGCTCTGCAGCAGGATCGTGCTCTGCCTGTTCGCCTCCTTCTTTTGCACCAGCATCTGCCCACGGGCACGGGGAAAGGGGGCGGGGGGGGGGGGGGTGTCAGGGAGGGATCAAGCCCCCAGGCTCACCCCGGTGAGAGAAAAACTTTTTTCCAGGGAGGTTGGGAGCAAAACTCATCCGACTTCATCCCAGGGGACCGCAACGGGGGCCCGGGAGCGTCCCCATCCCCTCAGGACCCAGGGCTAAGGTTTTGTGGGTTAAGTGGGCTCAGCTTTGGGGGGGTTTGCACTGAGAGCAAGCTCTCCTGCTCTCCCACCCCTGTGGGTGCCTGTCCCCCCCCCCCGCCTCGGCACCCATGGGCAGGGTGACCCCGGACCCGGCCGAACCTCATGGGCGAAGGCTTCGGCGTGCAGGCGCAGGTCCTGCTCCAGCTCCAGCTGCTGCACCGCCTCGCAGTAATCCTGGGTGACAATCTGGGACACTGCCGGGGAGAACGGGGGGCTCGGGGCGGGGGGGGGCACTGGCATAGGGAGTGGGGGGGGGGGGAGGGGGTGCGTGCCCACCCCGGGGAGGTGGCGGGGGGGGCTCCACACCGTCACCTCCCACGGACGGGGCCGCCCGCGTCGCAGCAAACCGCCTGCAGCCCCCAGTGCTGCACCATTGCCTGGGGTTTCACCGGGCTGGGAGGCACTGGTGGCACCGGTGGTGGCACCGGTGGTGGCACCGGTGGTGGCACTGGTGGCACCGGGGACCTGCCCGCTGACCCAGCACCCAACTCACCTCTCTTGAAGGACTTCAGCGCCCGCTGGCTGGTGCCCAGGGCTGCTCGCAGGCGCTGCTGCTCCCTCCGCCCCATCTCCAGCTGCAGCAGGACAAGCCCCCCCCCCCTCCTCCTCCTCAGCCCCGGGTTCAACCCGGGGGGGCGGGGGGGTCCCACCGTGCCCATCCCACCCCCCAAGGCATCAGGGAGACAGCGTGGGGCTGCAGAGGGGGATCTACCCCCCCAAAAAAAATACCAGTCCTGAGCTCAGCAAGGAGCTGCAAGGATGAGCTGGGGAAGGAGGGGAACAGGGAGGGTGATGAAGGGGGACTCTGTTTTGGAAAGGGGGGGGGGGGGGGTCCTGCTCATCTGGGGTGTCCCCGTGGGGGTCCCCAGGATGGTACCTGGTCCTGTAGGTCGTGGTTCTGCCTCTCCAGCTCCTGGACCTGGATGGTGAGGTCCTTCCGCTGCGCCAGCAGCCAGGAGATCTTCTCCTGCAGGTCTGGGGGCAAAGCGGGGAGCGAGGGGGGGGGGAAAAGCGGGGGGGGGGGGGGGGGGGGGGGAAGGGGGGGACAAAGCGTGGGAAAGGGGAATGCAGCCCTCCCAGAGCTGGTCCTTGAGGATGAGGCTGGTGGGGCTCCAGCAACCCCCCTTCCCAGGTCACCCCGGTCCTGGCCATGTCACCAGTGACCCTTGGGGGGGGGGGGGGGCGGTGCTGGGGTGCATCCCCCCCGAGCAGTGCAGCTCTCCCAAGGGGGCATCCCCCAGGGGGGCGTCCCCAGGACACACACCACCACCACCCCCCCCCCCAGGTAGCGACGAGGGAAAACAGGCTGGGAAAGGGGGAAGCGGGAGCAGCGGCGCTTTCATTTCACTTTTTTTCGTTTGGTTTCAGTCTCATTTTCTCCCCCGCTCCCCGGAACAAGGCCCAGGCGCAGCTGAAAATAGGGCTGAGCCGGAATTTGGGGACCCCTGCCCCCCCACACACACCCCCCTCCCCCCCCCCCCCCCCCCCCCAAGCCTGGCTCACCCTTGAGCTGCTGCCCATAGCACTGGGCAGGGTCGGGGTCCTCCTCGGGGGGCACCTCCTCGGGCAGGGCCAGGGGGGCCGGGGGGGCCAGGCTGAGCCGCTTCAGTTGGTTGTTCTCCTGCTTCACCTGGGGTGCAAAGGAGACCCCCCCACACACACCCCACCCCCCCCGCCCCAACCAGCATCGGGGTTTCTACTGCACCCACCAAGCTGGGTGTGCTGGGGTGGGGGGGGATGCAGCCGGCACCTTTGCACCCACAGCGAGGGGTGGTGGGCATCGGGGTGCTGGGTTGGGGGGGGGGCAGGGGGGGGGCACACTGCCCATCCCTACCTGAGCTGCGTAAGCTTCAGCTCGCTGCCGGCACGTCCTCTCGACCTCAAACTCCGTCTCCAGCGCCGAGAGCTCGGCCAGCAGCACCTGTGACGCTGGGGGGGGGTGTGGGGGGTGTGTGTGTCCAATTCAGGCCCCTCCTCGGCCCTCAGTGCCGGGGGGGGGGGGGCTGGCTGACACCCCCACCCACAGCCACCCCCGCTGAGCAGCTGGCAGAGCCCAGCCAGGTCACCCAGGACCGGTGACGGCCCCCAGCTCTGCACGGCGACAGGGATTTGGATTTTCCCTCTTGGATGTCGCGTCCCCCCCCGCTCCCCGTCCCGGCTGACCCCACCACCCCGTCCAGGGAGGCAGCTGGGGGGGCCGCAGCCGGCCCCAGTCCCCGTACGGGACCGTGCTGGGATGCGACACCGAGCTGGGGCCGGGCTCACCTTGCTCGAGCTCGGCCAGCCGCTCCTCCGCTTCGGCCACCTCCTGGGCGGGGGGCGGGTGCTGCTGGGGGGGAGCGCACGTGGCGTTGTGTTGGCATGGCATTGCGTTGGCATTGGGTTGGCGTTGCATTGGCGTTGTGTTGGCGTTGCATTGGCATTGTATTGGCGTTGCGTTGGCGTTGCGTTGGCATTGCATTGGCGTTGCATTGGCATTGCATTGGCATTGCATTGGCGTTGCATTGGCGTTGCATTGGCGTTGCATTGGCATTGCATTGGCATTGCATTGGCGTTGCGTTGGCGTTGCGTTGGCATTGCATTGGCGTTGCATTGGCATTGCATTGGTGTTGCATTGGTGTTGCATTGGCGTTGCATTGGCGTTGCATTGGCGTTGTATTGGCGTTGCACTGGCATTGCATTGGCATTGCGTTGGCATTGCATTGGCATTGCATTGGCATTGCATTGGTGTTGCATTGGCGTTGCGTTGGCATTGCGTTGGCATTGCATTGGCATTGCATTGGCGTTGCATTGGCGTTGCGTTGGCGTTGCGTTGGCATTGCATTGGCATTGCATTGGCGTTGCATTGGCGTTGCATTGGCATTGCATTGGTGTTGCATTGGCGTTGCATTGGCATTGCATTGGTGTTGCATTGGCATTGCGTTGGCGTTGCGTTGGCATTGCATTGGCGTTGCATTGGCATTGCATTGGTGTTGCACTGGCGTTGCATTGGCATTGCACTGGCATTGCATTGGCATTGCGTTGGCATTGCATTGGCGTTGCACTGGTGTTGCATTGGCGTTGCATTGGCGTTGCATTGGCATTGCATTGGCGTTGCATTGGCGTTGCACTGGCGTTGCATTGGCGTTGCACTGGCGTTGCATTGGCGTTGCATTGGCGTTGCATTGTCACGGCATTGTGTTCACACGGTGTCCCCAGGTCTCAGTGAGCCCCGAGCCACCCAGCTGCTGCCAGCTGTGCTGGGGACACCGTGACCGTGACACCAGTGACCAGCACCCCGGTGCCATGGCACACGGCCACGGCGGGAGGGGAGGGCACGGGGGGGGACGCCCCCTTCACCACCTCAGAGTTACACGGGCAGGAGGAAGAAATAAAAGAGAAAACGAGCCTGTGAGTGATACCTGCGCCATAGCTGCCTCTTCATCCTCCTCCCCCTCCTCCTCTTCCTCCTCGCTGCTTCCCGACTCCAGGATGGCTGCAGGGGAACCAAAAGCACAGCAGAAGGGTCACCAGTGGGAGGGGATTCAACCCCTTTGCTTTTCTCAGCCTCATCCTGCTCTGCGAGGAGCGGTGCTGAGCACCCCCCCTCCCCGGCCTGGGGGGGGGCTGCCTGTGCCGCTGTGGCCCCCAGAGCCCCGTGTCCCCAGGGATTGTCACGGGGCTGGTGGTCCCCCGTGGTTGGGACTGGGGACCTGCTTCGTCCCCAGGTGCTCTGGGGTCCTTCTGTCTTTCTAGAGGTGGGGGTGGGGGGGTGGGGGGGGGTCGGAACTGGGCGGGGCTGCTCACCCAGCTCCCCCCAGGGCAGCTCCCAGAGGGGCTGTGGTTCCTCTCGGCTGGAATCCAGCACCTGCCCCTGGCCCTTCCCATCACAGACCTAATCCCGTGGGGAATGCGCTCGGGAATCTAAATCTCACACACACACCCCCCCCCCCCCCGATTTGTAACCTTGCCTCGGCTGCTGCACCCTCACACCACCTGCGAGGGCTGGGGGGGTCCCCGTGGGACCCACAGGATGGGCGGGGCGTGCTGCTGAGCAAAGGCTCCGGGACCCCCATTTCGGGACCCCCTCTCCGTGCTGGGACACCTCATATCAGGACCCCCCACATCAGTACCCATGGGCTGGGACCCCCATGCTGGGACCCCCCCATGTCAGGACCCCCATTTTGGGACCCCCATACTGGAACCCCCATACTGGAACCCCCATGCTGGGACCCCCATGCTGGGACCCCCCCTATCAGGACCCCCATTTTGGGACCCTCATACTGGAACCCCCATACTGGAACCCCCATGCTGGGACCCCCACGTCAGGACCCCCCCTATCAGGACCCCCATTTTGGGACCCTCATACTGGAACCCCCATGTCAGGACACCCCATGTCTGGACCCCCATTTTGGGACCCCCATCCTGGGACCCCCATGTTGGCACCCCTGTGCTGGGACCCCCATGCTTGGGACCCCCCCATGTCGGGACCTCCATGTCAGGACCCTCATGTCAGGACCCCCATCCTGGGACCCCCATCCTGGGACCCCTGTGCTGGGAACCCCCCATGTTGAGACCCCCCATGTCAGGACCCCCATGTCAGACCCCCATGTTGGGACCCCCCCACACCGGCACCCCCACACCAGCTGTGGGGCTCAGGCCGTGCAAACAGCCCTGCTTCCCCCGGGGCCTGATTCTGGGCTGATTTCCCAACACACCCCCCACCCCCCCCCCCCCAAGCAAACCTTTCAGCCCACGGCGCCCAGAGGCCACGGTGATGGTCACAGGGGCCACCCCAGCCCACCCGACACCCCGCCGCGCGCAGGGGGACCTTACCTGCGAGCTGCCCAGCACCTTCCCCAGCCTGGGCCATGGCGGTGGGGCTGGAGGCACCCAGCACCCCGAGCTCGGTGGGGTGCCTGCCCCCCCCCCCCCCCCTCCCCACCCACCTTGGGGAAGTGAAACCGCGCAGTGAATCGGCTGCACCGTCATCGCCGGCTACGGTGGGGCTGAGCACCCCGATCCAGGCAGGATTGGTCCAGCCGCGGCAGCAACTGCGCCCTCGGCGGGGATGCAAAGCCAGACCCGGCTGAGCCCCCGGGGCCGGGGTGGGGGGGGGGAGACACGAAGCTGCGCCCCACTAAACCCCCGGCAGGGCTGCAAAGCCAGACCCAGCTGAGCAGGGTGGTTTTTACAGCGGGGGGGGGCCGCGCAGGGCGGAAAGTGCTGGTGCAAAAAGCACGAGGAACCGAAACCGGCTCAGCCCCGGCCACGCGTCGCTTCGACCCAGCGAGATGCTGGAGGCACGGAACCGTTGGGGTGGAAAAAGCCCTTCAAGATTGAGTCCAACTTCAACTCTGACACCGCCGAGCAGCTCTGCAGCAAACGCCCCCCCCCCCCCCCCCCCACCTCACGGCCTTTACACCTCCCACATCATCTTAAAATTGAAAAATGCCGGGGTTTGAGGAGATGCCAGCTCGGGCGGCTTCGGAGCTCTGCCTGCACCGGGCAGCGTGCCCGAGGTCGGGGGGGGGGGGGGATGGACCGGGGGCCCAGGGTGTGGGGGGGAAACGGTGGCGGTGGGGAGCACAAGAGCACACACAGAGGGGGTTTGGTTGGTGACCGCACTGGTTTTATTGAGCAAGAAGGGTTTGTCACTGCGTCGGGATGCCCGGGGCTGAGACCCCGCAGCCCTCCGCGCCCTCCCAGCAGCAAAGCCCACCCGGCCCCACCGGCTTTGGGTGCTCCATAGAGGTTTAGGGGAGGCGAGGCTGCTCCCCCAAAGCCGAGGGGCTCAGCCCTGAGGCTGGGGGGGGGGGGGTCAGAGGGCCGTGCTGGCCGGCCCCTGGCCCGGCGCCGTGGCCTCGCGTGGGTAATACTCAGCCAGGATGCTCTCGGGGATGCGCTTCAGCAGCTGCTTGGGGAAGATGCGCAGGAGCTGCCAGCCGATGTCCAGCGACTCGAAGATGCTCCGGTTCTCGTAGGGGCCTGGGAAGAGATGCGGGTTAGGGGGGTGCAGGAGCCGGGGGGAGACGCTGGGGGTCTGGACCAGTCCCCAAACCCCCCACCCCCCCCCCAGCCGCCTCACCCTGGGTGATGAACTGCTTCTCGAACTTCTGCAGGAACTCCAGGTAGAGCAGGTCGTCGGGCGAGAGCGCTTCTTCCCCCACCACCGCCTTCATCGCCTGCACGTCCTTCCCGATGGCGTAGCAGGCGTACTGCGGGACGGTCAGGACAGACGGACGCTCTGTGCAACCCGCCGGGCAGGCAGAGCAGGGGGAGGCAGCGCGGGTCCCCGTGAGTGTGTGTGTGTGTCCCCACCAACAGCCTTCGCTCGGCCGTTTGCTGCCCAGCTGTGTCACCCCACGCCTCGGGGACACCCCGAGCAGGGCCTCGGTTCGCAGGCACTTTTCAAAGCCCTCCGCTCTCTGCCGCAGCCACAATTATGTATAATTCTGTTCTACAGAATAATATAGGCTGCATGGAAAGAATCCAGCTTGCTGTCAGCCTGGGATTCCCGCAGCAGGCCATGCCACAGCTCTGCCCCCGTTCTGGGGCTTTGCATCCCCTGGACTTCCAACTCTGCCCCACGTCAAGGAGATGCCAAAAAATAATGTCTCAGGCCCATCACGGCCAAGAGCACCAAGATCTCAGCCCCGAGCACGGGGAGGAGGGCTCTGAAGGGACAAATTCCCCAAATTCCCCCCCCTCCCATCATCATCATCATCATCATCCCTTACCAGCTGGTTGGAGACGTCCCCGTGGTCCTTCCTGGTCATGCCCTCCCCGATGGCCGACTTCATCAGGCGGGAGAGGGAGGGCAGCACGTTGATGGGGGGGTAGATCTGCAGGGCAAGAGGGACCCCCCCACACACACAATCACCCGCTGCCAGGCATCCCCGTGTAGGCAAGGGGATCGCTGCCCCCGCTTCGGGCTCCCCCCTTCCCCTGGGCACCCCCCATCTGGGTGCTCCTGGGGGGGGCGGGTCACGGAGCCGGGAAGGGAGCCAGGAACGAACCTGCCTGTTGTGGAGCTGCCGGTCGACGTAAATCTGCCCCTCGGTGATGAAACCTGTCAGGTCGGGGATGGGGTGGGTGATGTCTGGGGGAAAAACAGGGTGGTGTGAGCCCCAAAAGTGCATCTGGCTGCTTGGCCGGGCACGGGACGTGGCTGTGCCCTGTGCCGGGGGGGGGGACCGGAGCCCCAGGGAAGCTGCACCAGCCTGCGGTTGTGAGCAAGAGCCGGTTCCCCCCTCCCCAGGCAGAGAACTGCCCGGTTTCGATTTGCCCATGGGTGCGTGCACCCCCACACCTGCACGCACCCCCCAGGCCTGAGTGCCCCCTCCATCCTTGGGCCTGAAACCAGCACTCTGGTCCAGCTGGGCACAGCCCAGAGGGACGACTTGGAGATAAAAAACAACCCCAAAGCGTCCCAGCGAGCTTCGCTACCGCAATCGATTCCCCCCAAGCTCCCCTGAAACTTGTTCAAACAAAACAGTTTGGCATTTCCCGGCCCTGTGGTTCCCCGGTGCGGGCACAGCGGTGGCACCGCACACCCCGCGGGGACTCCCCTGTCCCCCGGGGCCGCTGACCGTCGTTGGGCATGGTCAGGATGGGGATCTGCGTGATGGAGCCGTTCCTGCCCTCCACGCGCCCGGCCCGCTCGTAGATGGTGGCCAGGTCGGTGTACATGTAGCCGGGGAAGCCGCGGCGGCCGGGCACCTCCTCCCGGGCTGCTGAGACCTGCGGGACGGGGGGGGCTGGCGGGAGTGCTGGGGGGGGGGGCGGGGGGTCAAGCACCCCAAGTAGCCCCAGCACCCCAGGCATCCCGAACGCCCCCAGCACCCTGGGCACCCCGAGCACCCCAGGCATCCTGGGCACCCTGAGCACCGCAAGCAGCCTGGACACCCCAGGCATCCCAAACACCCCAAGGACCCTGGGCACCCCAAGCACCCCCAGCACCCCGGGCACTCTGAGCACCCCAGGCATCCCAAACACTCCCAGCACCCTGGGCACCCTGAGCACCCCCAGCACCCTGAGTGCCCCCAGCACCCCAGGTACTCTGAGCACCCCCAGCACCCTGAGTGCCCCCAGCACCCTAGGCACCTGAAGCACCCTGAGCACCCTGAGCACCCTGGGCACCCTGAGCACCCCCAGCACCCTGAGTGCCCCCAGCACCCCAGGCACTCTGAGCACCCCCAGCACCCTGAGCGCCCCCAGCACCCTGGGCACCTGAAGCACCCTGAGCACCCTGAGCACCCTGGGCACCCTGAGCATCCCCAGCACCCTGAGTGCCCCCAGCACCCCAGGCACCCTGAGCACCCCCAGCACCCTGAGCGCCCCCAGCACCCTGGGCACCTGAAGCACCCTGGGCACCCTGAGCACCCTGGGCACCCTGAGCACCCCCAGCACCCTGAGTGCCCCCAGCACCCCAGGCACTCTGAGCACCCCCAGCACCCTGAGCGCCCCCAGCACCCTGAGCGCCCCCAGCACCCTGGGCACCTGAAGCACCCTGGGCACCCTGAGCACCCCGGGCACCCTGAGCAACCCCAGCACCCTGAGCGCCCCCAGCACCCTGAGCACCCCAGGCATCCCAAACACTCCCAGCACCCTGGGCACCTGCAGCACCCTGGGCACCCTGAGCACCCCAGGCACCTTGAGCATCCCAGGCATCCCAAACACCCCCAGCGCCCTGGGCACCCCGAGCAACCTGGGCACCCTGAGCACCTCAGGCATCCCAAACACCCCCCAAAACCCTGGGCACCCCAAGCACCCCGGGCGTCCTGGACACCCCAAACACCATGTACATCCCAAATATCCCAAGCACCCTGGGCACCCCGGGCATCCCGAGCACCCTGGGTGCACCCCAACAGGGCAGTCCCGATCCTCAGCCACACGGGGAGGACACGGGGGACCGGAGGGACCCCAGGGACAGGCGCTGACCTCCCGCAGGGCCTCGGCGTAGGAGCTCATGTCCGTCAGGATCACCAGCACGTGCTTCTCGCACTGGTAGGCGAGGAACTCAGCCGTGGTCAGGGCCAGGCGGGGGGTTATGATCCGCTCGATCCTGCCAGGGGGACACGGTGGGCACCCCCAAATCCCAATCCCCAACCCCGCAGAGCCGCACGGCCTCCCTGCAGCATGCCAGGCTGTCGGCAGGGGGGACCAGGCACCCGCCCGGGCACCCCACATCTTGGGGTCCCTGAGCTGGGGCCGGGCGATGGCCGGGGAGGAGGAGGAGGAGGAGGAGGGAGGCAGCTGCAGCTCACCCAGGAAGGGATGGGGACCCAAAATCTGGCTGGGTTTGTTGCCAGCAGACCCCTGGACAAATGCCTCAGCCCATCTGAGGGGGGTCCCCCAATCTCACCAAGGGGGTCCCCCAGCCCAGCAGTGCGTGGGACAGTTCAGAGCACAGCCGGCAGAGCCCAGCACCCCCTGCACCCCCACAGTGCCCCTCACTGAACCGCACCAGAGGCTGCTCCCGGTCCCAGCTCAGAGGCAGATTTGGGGGGTGCCAGGAGAGCACATGGAGGAGCCTGAGGGACTCAGCACCGTGCAGGATGGGCCCGTTGCTCAGGGCAGGGCTGGCAGCACCCAGGAGTGGGGCTGGCCCCTGGGGAGTGGGGGGACCCGCAGCCTTTGGGGTTCCCAGGCATGGCAGGACTTTAATGGCTCCCAGCTGCACCCAGCATCATCACCTGCACCTAGATCCACCCGAGATGGATCGAGTCCTCAGTGGGAGGAGAGAAGAAAGGAGAAGGGAAAGGGAAAGGGAAAGGGAAAGGGGAAGAAGGAGAAAGGAGAAGGAGGAGAAGGTGAAGAAGGAGAAGGAGAAAGAGAAGGAGAAGGAGAAGGAGAAGGAGAAGGAGAAGGAGAAGGAGAAGGAGAAGGAGAAGGAGAAGGAGAAGGAGAAGGAGAAGGAGAAGGAGAAGGAGAAGGAGAAGGAGAAGGAGAAGGAGAAGGAGAAGGAGAAGGAGAAGGAGGAGAAAAAAGGAGAAAGAAGGAGAAGGAAGAGAAGGAGAAGGAGAAAGAGAAGGAACAAAAAGAAAGAAGGAGAAGGAGAAGGAGAAGGAGAAGGAGAAGGAGAAGGAGAAGGAGGAGAAAAAAGGAGAAAGAAGGAGAAGGAAGAGAAGGAGAAGGAGAAAGAGAAGGAAAAAAAAGAAAGAAGGAGAAGAAGGAGGAGAAAGGAGGAGGAAGAGAAGG